CCAAAATCGGGGGAGTTCTACACAAAAATGCCAAGGTTTGTGCCCCAAAAGGGAACCTGCTCAAGGCGGGTACGTGGGCACCCTCTGGCACCATCCTTGGGGCTTTGGGCCAAAATCTTGGTGGTTCTACACAAAAACACCGAGGTTTGTGCCCCAAAAGGGGACTTGCTCAAGGCTGGTACGTGGGCACCCCCCGGCACCATCCTGGGGGGGTTGGTGCCAAAATCAGGGGAGTTCTACACAGAAATGCCAAGGTTTGTGCCCCAAAAGGGGACCTGCTCAAGGCGGGTACGTGGGCACCCCCTGGCACCATCCCGGGGGTGTTTGTACCAAAATTGTGGCAGTTCTACACAAAAATGCCAAGGTTTGTGCCCCAAGGGGGGACCCACTTGAAGGGGGTGCGTGTGTGTCCCCCCAGGACCCCCAAGATTTCCTCTGGGGGGGTGCAAAGGAGGTTTTCTACCAAAATCAACACACGAAAGTGCTGGGTTTTACCCCATAACGGAGGGTTGTGCCAATGTTTGGCCCCAAAAGGGGACCTGTTCAAAGGGGGTATGTGCATCCCCCCCAGGACCCGCTAAGATCCCCCAAGATTTATTCTAGGGGGTGCAAAGGAATTTTTGCACCAAAATAAGGCATAAAAATAGTGGTTTTCGCCCCTAACAGAGGGTTGTGCCAATGTTTGGCCCTGAAAGGGGACCTGCTCAAAGGGGTCCCCCCACGGGACCCCCCAAGATTTACTCTGGGGGGTGAAAAGGAGGTTTTGCACCAAAATCAGGCACAAAAATGCTGGGTTTTACCCCATAATGGAGGTTTGTGCCAGTGTTTTGCCCCAAAAGGTGACCTGCTCAAAGGGGTCCCCCCCAAGACCCCCCCAAGATTTATTTTGGGGTGGTGCAAAGGAGGTTTTGTACCAAAATCGGGCACAAAAATGCTGTTTCCCCCCGCCATAACAGAGGTTTGTGCCCCAAAAGGCGACCTGCTCAAAGGGGTCCTCCCCCGAGACTCCCCAAGATTTACTCTGGGGGCTGAAAAGGAGGTTTTCTACCAAAATCAGGCACAAAAATGCTGGGTTTTACCCCATAATGGAGGTTTGTGCCAGTGTTTTGCCCCGAAAGGGGACCTGCTCAAAGGGGTCCCTCCCTGGGACCCCCCCAAGATTTACTCTGGGGGGTGAAAAGGAGGTTTTGCACCAAAATCAGGCACAAAAATGCTGGGTTTTAACCCCATAATGGAGGTTTGTGCCCCAAAAGGTGACCTGCTCAAAGGGGTCCCCCCACGGGACTCCCCAAGATTTACTCTGGGGGGTGAAAAGGAGGTTTTGTACCAAAATCAGGCACAAAAATGCTGGGGTTTACCCCATAATGGAGGTTTGTGCCCCAAAAAGTGACCTGCTCAAAAGGGTCCCTCCCCAAGATACCCCCCCCCAATTAATTCTTGGGGAGGTTTTGTCCCAAAACCAGAGGGGTCGCGCCCGAAAGTGCCGTTTTTTCCTGGTTTGTGCCAAGGGGGTGTTTGGGGTGGGCACACACAGAGGGCAAAAGGGGTGTCCCACCCTCGGGCAGGCGCGATCACGGCGGAGGAGGCGCAGCGCTCGAGCTCCCTCAACATCGTGGGCATGGTGGGGTCCATCGACAACGACTTCTGCGGCACCGACATGACCATCGGCACCGACTCGGCCCTGCACCGCATCATGGAGATCGTGGACGCCATCACCACCACGGCCCAGAGGTGACAGGGACCCCCACGCCAAGGGGGGGACACGGGGGGGACGTGGGGAGGGGCTGGGGGGGAGTCACCAGCCCCTGGAGGGGTTTGGGAAGGGACTGGATGCGGTGCCATGGTCTGGGTTGACAGGGTGGGGTTGGCTC